TGAGTCAACCCTGAGCCGGTGAGATTTGAACCGCTGACCTGCTGATCTAGCAGTAGCCTGCAGTGCTGCATTTAACCACTGCGCCACCGTGGAAAGATTAGGGAATGCTGCTCTAAGGAACTACAGGTGATAGTAGCAAACATTATCATATTTTTTAAAAAAAGATCCATTTCCTTATTCAATTCATGTTTCTGCTCCTGATTAAGACTGAAGCATCTCCACTTTACACATTAATAAGTTATGCATTTTCCAGGGACAGTTTAGCAGTTTAAAAGCTGCATTTCCCTCTTTTGTTCTAGTGCATTATTAGAAATGACCATCCAAGTCCGAACCTGTGCATCTTCATATGTGTACCTCCCTGGGTCTTTGACGTTTTGGCTTGTGATTTCATAGCTGTGAGAGTCCAGGTTGATGGCACTCTGGGCCCCGGGAGCGAGGAACTCTTGCCAGATATCTTCTACTCTGGTTGCTACATCTTGAAATGGTTGTTTTTTGAGATCTTGGACAGCCAACCAAAACCTGCATTGAGGCAACAAAGAAAGAAAATGTATCCCAGAAAACTTGAGTCAGCTGCGCCACCAGGATTCAGGTTAATTTTAGCCCAATCTTTTTACAGCCAATATCCAACTGATATCCAAATGTCTATGGAGATTCTCAGTCATCCAGGTCACGGTTGTCCCAAAGGTGCTTTTTCAAGGGGCAACTGGACTTTCCACAAGGAGTATAAATCCTTCCCTTCCCCCACCATCCAGTCAGAGCTGAAGAAGAACATTTTCAAAGAAAAAACAGAAAGTCCGGTTGCCTCTTGAAAAAGGATCTTTGGGACAACTGATATCCAAATAACCATTGCCAGACCCATTAGCATGTTGTAATTTCTGAGTGATTCTGAAAGAAAAATCACATTTTACAGCCTCTCCATGCATTGGTAATGCATTTCAACCTCTCCATCACTTTTTAGAATCATGTACAGAGACCTTATGAAATTAGAAACAGGAAATAGAGCTATTTTGAAGACAATATGCTTTTGATATGCTTACTAAGAACAAACTGAAATATAGTCTCCCCACCTCCTCCTTCCAACAAGTATCCTGTGTCAAATCCCAGAGTAATCAATGAAGAGAAGGAATTGTTTCAGGCATAAAAAGTTGGTCTGGCTCAAATTCAGTCTAATATTTTTAACCCTGTTTATGTTGAAGATCACTTGGCTTTAATCCTATGCTATACTACTTAAGCGAAGGAAGTTTGAAAGGAAAACTCTTCATCAACAGAGCAATATCATAGCCAGGAGATTCTGATTGATTGATTGATTGATTATCTACCACCAACTTGTCAACACTCAGTAACCATATAGATTTTTGCCCTGAGTTTGCTAGAAGTTGATTTTTGCAGATAACTATTCTACATAATGCACCTTTGCTATCTAGTCATGCTGGCCACATGACCACGGAGACGTCTTCAGACGTCTCTTCCGCTTTGAAATGGAGATGAGCATGGCTCCCTAGAATCGGGAACGACTAGCACATATGTGCGAGGGGAACCTTTACCTTAATCCTTCATAATTGTTGCTTTTCACCGTTTGTTGAACACATTACTCACAAAAGTTTTACATTAGATACAATGTCTTTATTTGGTTCCTGAGGAAGTGTTTTAATGGGAGCATGCACAATGCCATATTGACACCTAGTGGACGTTCACAGCAACTGGTTCTTTTGACCCATTCTTGGCACCTTGCATTTTTTTCTTTCTAAACTGGCATTATCTACATGGATAAGAAGGAGTTGGGGCCCAATATCCTTGGCACACCAAGCATGAGTACATCCACCTAATCTTTAATCTCTTACCTCTAACTTGCCATTTCTTCGTGGGTCTGTCTATATATTTATGAATTCTTATTACACCTTTCCTGGCAACTAGATACAAACATGCTCTATGATAAAACAGTGGATGTATTCAGAAAGCAAGTCATTCAAACATCCAGCCCAATGCAATGGGAAGCTTGGTTAGTTTCAAATTTGATTAGGTTTTTTTTTGGGGGGGGGAGAAAGGGTGGGAGAGCTCAGTATTTTGTGAAAACTGTCCATTTGGTTAATTTTGTATAAAAATAAATTCATTCAGTAACCACATTTGTGAGTCATATAAATTATAAACCCAGTCAGAGGCATTACAAGAATATGGTAAATGCTATCAGATCCAAGATTGATCACTTGCACATAACAGCCCTTAGGTTGTTATGTATATCCATGTATATTAAACCAGCAATTGGACTTGGAAAATCTTGGGAGAGTTCTACTTTGCATGCATCTCCGGGGCAATACTTATCCAAAAGTCTTCTCACTTCATTTCATCAGGTGATCCTTTCTTTATTCCTCCAATAAAATATTTTAATATTTAAAATATTAAAGATTTCTTGCTCCCCCATTTAACTATGGACCACATTCATTGTTGTTAACAGTGAGAAAAAAATGTCTCCCAGTCAGACAGTGATCTAGCTTGGCCTAAGCTTCCTTTACTACAAAAAACATGAAAAATGTCTATATGTTACCACTTCCTGTTCTTAACAATCGCCCAAACCAGCATTAAAACTACTGGTCGAAAGTTTAGGTGGGGCTGCATACCACAGCCTTTGAAAAACAGCCTACAGTTTAACTGTCCAGTTCTCCTCCTTCTCATTCATGGCCATGGCAACCTGAAAGCAAGAGCCCAGAGAACTGGCTACTTAACTTAAGAAACAGTGCAGAGATCAAAAGTGGTGGTCAATGACGATGCATCTCACTTTAGAGATCCAGATATTTTATATTGTCTATTTACAAAAACTGGAAACCAGTGGACAACCCATCCACTAACCACCTTAAATATACCTTTGCAGGAATCCCTCCATAGGCTGCAACAGAGGAATGCGATTGGCAAACGCTTGTAAAATGTGGGGAAGGTTCTGGAACAAACTACTGTATATGTAGGCCCTTTTCTTGGCATCATGCAGAGAGTGAAATACAGAGAACATGGATACAGCTGGGTTTGGTATCAGATAAGGTGTTTAGTGTAGCCTGCCTTAACTGTGGTTCTCCCCACCCCCCAGGCAGCCATTCTGACTAGGGATTCTGGGAATTGTAGTTAAATGCAATTGAGGGTACCAGGTTGAGGAAAGGAATCTTAGTACTTGGAACAAAGCTGTGCTGTAATTACAATGGCTGAAATATCAGCCTGAGGAAGCCAGGAAAAACAGTCATCCACAAAGCCATCTCAGGGACATACATGATATAATAAAAACCAGGGACAACAAACTCTGCTGGCTTGGAGGATCACTGGAACCGAAACAAAGCGGATCCACCTAATAAGGAGAGTATAAATGCCATTTCACGTGTTCTGGGGAGAAAATATGAGTGTTAAATGACAATATCTGTAGCATTTATTACATACGCTGGCTAGGGCATGTCGTGAGAATGGCTGATGGTCGGATTCAGAAAGATCTCCTGTATGGAGATTTAGTGCAGGGAAAGCGCCCCAGAGGGAGACCACAGCTGCGATATAAGGATANTGGAAGCTTTATATGGACTTTTGTTGAAAGAAGGATTTGAAGACTAAGAAAGATGAGGACTAAATGAAGGGGTAAAAGGATTTTTCAAATATTTAAGAAGAAGGAGGGATAATAACAACAAAATTGTCTGTTAAAAAGAAGGTCAGGAGTAATCTATATTTCTTAACTTTGGGTTATTCTTCTTCTCTTGGACTTTTCTGAATTTTTTCCCCTTCGCTTTTCCATTTGTTATTATGTGGAAAAGTTCAATAAATATATTTTTGAAAAGAAATGAGGGCAACACAGTTTTGCGTAAAAATGGCTTGTACTAAGTTACATAAATAGCTTAAAAATATGACCTGATAGTTCTCAACTTAGCGCCAGAGGTGGTATTCAGCAGGTTCTGACCAGTTTTGGAGAACTGGTGGTAGAACTTTTGAGTAGTTCGGAAACCGGTAAATACCACCTCTGACTGGCCCTGCCCCCATCTGTTCTCTGCCTCCCGAGTCCCAGCTGATCAGGAGGAAATGAGGATTTTGCAGTAACCTTCCCCTGGAGTGGGGAGGGAATGGAGATTTTACAGTATCCTTCCCCTGCCATGTCCATCAAGCCACGCCATGCCCACCAAACTGTGCGTAAACACAGAACTGGTAGTAAAAAATGTTGAATCCCACCACTGCTTAGCACCATAAAGGGGTTTGGAATTCAGTGAGATGTCATGTGACCATTTCACTTCCAGCTCATCTGGCTACTGTTGATAAATAAGTATGCAGATCATTAAGTATAGTGGGGTGCAATTGGAGTGGGAGAGGTCAGGTACAGGCAACAGGACCCCACTAGCATGTGTAAATCTGCCACAGATTGGGCCGACCCAGTGCATGCAGGTGATAGCCGCAGGTGATAGATCTGGGCGTCTCTCCATCCCACCATTCTTGGGAGGTCTCCATTGATTACAGAGACCAATAGTGAGCATAAATTGCTCTACTTACCCTCACATTTTTCTATAACTGCTGACAGTTATGCCCAACCAATGCCTGGCACAGCTTTCTACTGAGAGTGGATGTCTTGTGCCATTCTGCAGGCATGTGCTTTTCCAAACTGCACCCTAATTTCCAAACAACTGAACTCCTTAGCTTTCCATACTTCCTAGTCTAAAAAGGCTAGTGAACTTGATCATTTAGAAGGCTAGGAAAAAAAATGCTATTTCTAGCCCACAGATGACTGTGCGCACTAGCTTTCTAGGCTCGCCTCCTCGCACAATGATGTTTCATAAGTTGCAGAATCTATGCTATTTTTTTTTCAGACTGTATGGTTAGCATCACAAAATGACTTCATTTGTAAGCAGTGCTGTTGGAGAGCAAAAGAAAGGTGATAATGCAACAATAAGAAAAGTGGTATGTTCAAGCTTACTTTAAGATACTGTATAACACCTTCTGCATACAATACAAGCCACGTCTTTAGAAAGAAAATATGAGAAACACACTCGGCAAAATTCTTGGAACAGGTTTGCACTATCAATTTCACTAAGACCTAAATAGGAATATGGGAGATAATAAGAAAAAAGAACCTATAATGATAACTACTTCAAGTCAATGTCAGTGTAAGAAGAGATCCGGTTTCTCTCTCCTACAGCAAGCTACAATGATGACCCTGGCTAGGTTACAGAAGGGCACTTAGCCAGCAGTCCAGCATCTTGGAAATTCTAGACAAGGATTCTGGAAACAGTTGGATCTTTTAAAATAAGACAGCATTATCTCTGCCTGCTGTATTGGGTAGTCAATGGAGCCTAGCAAAGCAACAATAAAAGCATCCCTCATTTTTCTTTTGTGTGCAAGTATGGGCTTTCCTCCTCCTTTCCCCTCTTAGATAATAGATAGGCGAATTCTCATTCAACCTTAGATGATGGATGGGAAGGCACTAGCCTAACTGCTCCCAGGACAATTTCCACTTTCTTTTTCTTTGTGTTATCTTTTTGTGGTTCCAAACAAGAACCTGAAACTTTCTG